ACCCAGAGGTCGGGAGTTTCAATTCCCTGCTGTACCTCCTTGACATGGGCCGGATTTGAGGATCCAGAGGGTCCCTTCCATCTCTTCAGTTCTAAAATGATGATGAATGAAGTAAGAATGTGAGGGCATGTCTAGGAAAGGCTAATTAATCAAAAAGTACCCGAATGCCACACTCTTTCTATTAGAAACAGCAACAACAATTAAAAAGCTATGTCTGCCACACTGCCATATGGAAAGGATCTACTCAACTTCCTAATGAGACTGGCAAGTGACCTTGTTTCCATGGGTACAAATAACCTCCTGATCATATTCTCCCGTTCTCCTCTTCTTGGCCACATCAAATTCTTCCTGTGACAAATGAAGAGGAGTCCTGGAAGGCGGGGCGGGGGGGGGGAGAGATAATCCTGCTTCTTCACAGTAAGAATCAACACTGTTAGGAAGTGAGCTACAAGCATGGGTGTCTGTGACTGGGTGGTGCTTTCCTCAAAACATAAAGCATAATTCTAGCCAAGCTTGCTCTCTTAAGCCACCAGGACTTTTAAATACCTAAAACATGCCATCTCGAAGGAATTTTTCCATCGTTCAACATTCAAGGGATGGAGAAAAGGTCACTGGGAGCCATGTGAAAAGTGAAAGAAACAGAGATCTCCTTTAGAACCACTGGCTCTGATCAAGAGTAGCCATTTCCGTCTCAGACCACTCAAAGGCACTTACACCACTACTATCTACAACGTATTTACCTGTGAAAAACAGATAATGGAGAACCTCTTCTGGCCATGCCTTGCAAAATTGGCCATGCTAAGATAAAGGTGGAGATGTTAAAAATACTCAGGGTGATCTTCTGGCCATGCCTTGCAAAATTGGCCATGCCAATTTATGATGTTAAAAATACTGAGGGTGATCTCAAGTACAGTGGTGCCTCGCTAGACGATGATAATCCGTTCCACTGAAATAGCTGTTTAGCGAAATCATTGTCTAGTGAAAAGTATTTGCTATTGGAATGCATTGAAACCTGTTTAATGAGTTCCAATGGGGAAGAATTGTCGTTGTCTAGTGAGGATCGGCCATAGGAAAGCTGCTTTACGAACCGCCGATCAGCTGTTTAAATCGCTGTCTTGCGAAGCTTAGGTCCCGAAAACACCTGTTTTGCGAGCACGGAGGGAGCTGTCAAAATCATCATCTAGCGAAAATCGGTTTGCGAAACAGGGACCAAATATTGTCCAGCGAAATTCCCCCATAGGAATCACTGTTTTGAGAATCGCTATAGCAATTGCAAAAAGTCAATGTCTAGCGAAAAAACTGTCATGCGGGATAACTGTCTAGCGAGGCATCACTGTACTCTGTTCAGCTGGATTTTCTGCCCTGTTTATTTTTACGTTTTTCTCCCCACAATGTCTCACTTCACATATACTTTTCTTGGGAGTTCATGAAGCTTCTTGTACTCAACATGAATGCTGCCAAATTCCAGACTCTGACGTTTTTCTTCCTACTGTTTGTAAAGTTTTAAAGAATATTTGAAACCTCGAAATCATAGAACTATAGAATAGGGAAGTTGGAAGGGGCCTAACAAGGCCATCAAGTCCAACCCCCTGCTCGATGCAGGAATACAAATCAAAGGATATCTGCCAGGTGGTTGTCTTAAGTTTCTCTTGAAGGCCTACAGTGCTGGAGCACTATCTCTCAAGGAACAGTAATTGGTTCCACTGTCATGCTGCTCTAACAGTTAAGAAGTTTTTCCTGATATTCAACCTAAATCTGGCTTCCTGTAACTTGAGCCCATTGTTGCATGTCCTGCACTCCGACATGACTGAGAGCAGATCCTGCACCTCCTCTGTATGATTCCTTTTCAAGCATCTGAAAAGTGTTGTCATATCTCCCCTCAGTCTTTTTTTCTCAAGGCTAAACATGCCCAGCTCTTTCAATCTTTCCTCATAGGGCTTGGTTTCCAGATCCCTGATCATCCTTGTTGCCTTCCCCTGAACTTGTCAGCATCCTTCCTGAAGTGTGGTGTCTAGAGCTGGACAGAAAGCTCAAGGTGAGGCCTAAACAGTGCTGAAGACAGGGGAACTAGCACCTCGCAGGATTTGGAAACTATACTTCTGTTAATGTAGGCTAAAGTAGCTTTTTTTTGTAGTAGTATCTCATGGATTTTGGAGACTATACGTCTGTTAATACATCCAAAAATAGTTAGTTAGTTAGTTAGTTAGGCATCCTTCAGTCTCGAAAGACTATGGTATCGTGCTCTGTATGGAGGACTTGGAGCAGCGTCTAGTGTGGCTGAGGAGGCCGATTCGAGAATGACAGTCTCTTCCACACTGATGACAAATAAGTCACAAAAGCAGCAAAACCAGGGAGCTGGACAGGGGACAAATTGGATCCAAAAATAGCATTTGCCTTTTTTGTAGCTGCATCACACTGTTGGCTCATATTCAGCTTGTGATCTACGGCAATTCCAATACTGGACAACACCAAGATCCTTTTTTGCTTGTAGTATTGCTGACCCAGGTATCCCCCATCGTGTGTGTGGTTGCTTTCTTTTTCCTGAGGTACGGTACTTTTCCCTGTTGAATTTCATTCTTTTATTTTCACCCCAGTGCTCCAGTCTATAAAGATCATTTTGAATTTTGTTTCTGTCTTCCGGAGTATTAGGTATTCCACCCAATTTTGTGTCATTTGCAGATGTGACAAATATACCCTGCACTCCCTCATCTAAGTCATTAATAAAAATATTGAAGAGCACTGGACCCAGGACTGAGTCTTGGGGTACCCCACTTGTTACATCCTTCCAGTTGGAGAAGGAGCCATTAATCATCACCGTCTCGAGTATGATTCTGTAACCAATTGTGTATCCACCTGAACACTTTATCTATCCAGCCCATACCTAGTTAACTTGCTAATCATGACATCATGGGGGACTTTGTCAAAAGCTTTGCTAAAGTCAAGATATACTATGTCTGTGTCATTCACTCTGTCTATCAGGGAGGCTACCCAATCAAACAATGAGATCAGATAGATCAGTCTAGCAGGAATTATTTTTGATAAATCCGTGTTGGCTTCTATTCATTTTCTAAGTGCTTGCATAGTGACCGTTTTATAATTTGTTCCAGAATTTTCCCTAGGATTGATGTCAGGCTTTTATTTTCTGGGTCGTTTGTTACTCACATACCTGAAGAATGCTTTTTTTATTGCTTTTAGTGTCTCTAGTTAACCTCAGCTCATTCTCAGTTTTTGCTCTCAGTGCCATCCCTGCATTGCCTTGCTATTTGGTTGTACTCTTCCTTGGTGACCTGGCCTTCTTTCCATTTTCTATATGTCTTTTTTGGTTTTGTTTTCATGTCCTCCCTGAACTTTTTGTGAAGCCACGCTGGCCATTCTTGCTGTCTCCCACCTTTTGTTGTTGTTGGAATTGTTTGTAGTTGTGCTTTTAGAATTTCTTTTTTTTAGAAACCCCCATCCTTCTTGGAATCCTTTTCTTGTTAGGATCTCCTGCCATTGGACCTTACTCATCCTTGATCTGAGATTATTAAAATTGGCTTTTTAAAAATCCAGCAGATGTGTGCAGTTACACTCTGCTTTGGTTTCCTTTGAAATCAAGAATTCTAGTAAACATGGTTACTGCCACTTCCTCCACCATCTCTAATGTGTTCTCATGCACAAGTAAAATGTACCAATGTGTTACAATGGCACATGATATACACATGTGTTATGCTCAGAAACTATGCTGTTTCCCTCCTTCAAAAAAAGAGAAAAGAATAAGAAATCCTGCAGACTCTCTTGAATAGTCTTCTAGGACAAACCCACAAAGAAGGCATTACGGTAGTCCAGTGTTTTGGATCCAATGTTTTAGTAACATAAATGATTGCCATTGGCTGCTCTATATCTTATAGTGCATACAAGAAACATATAATTAACAGTATCCGCAGCTCTGATAATTTTTTTAAAATATATGGGCTACTATAATATATATGCAACTTGAATGCCTGTTTGTGGCTTTGCTCTTCCAGACCAATAACAGCCAGTTTTCCCCTGCCCCTTGTTGTGCTCATGGGGAGCAGGAAGTATTCCAGCCCCACAACATACCTGCACAGAAGGACAAGGTCTCCTTATATCCGAAGCAGACCCCCTCCAGGGAGATGGAGCTTCACACGCTCTCTCTCTCACCTTGACTTTCTGCAGAGAAGCAATAATATACAAGCTTGGCATCCAGACGTTTTGGGTTTAGTCCCTGGCATCTCCAGTTAGGCTTACAGACAAATACTGGGTTAGGCGAACCAATGCTCCAGTTCAGTAAATATCATTTCCTCCATTCTAATAACTCCAAGCCAAAGACAAAGCAACACTTCAAACTTCCTCTTTTATCTCTCCCTCTAATTCTGATGTTCAGAAAGTCAGTCCCAACAGAGAAGTATCAGCATCTGTTTATACTAATATATGGTTAACATCATTACCCATGTTGCTATTTAGATTCCTTTTGTTTTGTGATTGGTCAGTGAGTGGTAAACAAAGTCTTCATGTGTGAATCAGATCACTGAGGCATGGAGCTCTGAAAGAATTATGTGTCTGGAGGGAAACGTTTCTAAAATCAAGAAATATGCATTTCCCTTATGGTGTAGTTTGATTCTTTGTGGGAGGGGAACCTGAATGGACTGCCATGGTTTGCTGGATAGATGGGATTCTGAACAGGAGCAGTCCAGAGTACAAAATGTTGTTGCAGGTTTCCTTTGTCTTTCTTAACATTGCTCCACAGGCAGTTATCCATGTTCCTGATAATAAACCCATTTGACTTCCATCTTGATGGGAATTTGTAAGTGCAAATGCCCCCTTTTATTCCAGCATGGGAAAAGGAAAACCTAAAGAAAATACTAAAAATAGACTGGGACTGTCTTTCTCTTTCAACTGCGAAATGTTTACTCTTTACATTAGTGGTTCCCAACCTTGGGCAAGTTCTTGGACTGCAATTCCCAGAAGCCTTCACCACCAGCTGTGCTGGCCAAGGTTTCTGGGAGTTGCAGTCCAAGAACATCTGGGTTATCCAAAGTTGGAAACCACTGTTTTACAAGATTCCCTACTTGCATGTAGGGAATTTTTTTAACAGGAGGGTGGAAAACTAGAAACCAAAGCAGCTGTTCAAAGGGGATAAGATTTGTTTCCCCCCTTCATTATTTCCTTGTGGGCATTAGCTTAAAAAAATCAATAACCAGACTGGCAAGTTTAAAAAGAACTTTGTTTGCACTACACTGAGCCACCTACCTATGCTCTGCTGGGATTGGAGCCCCTTTGTATTGATGAGGTTAAATTACAGCCATAGCTTGGGACAAGTTAGTTTTTAGACTACAACGCCCATAATCCCCCCCCCAGCCAGCATGGCCAGCACATTTCTGGGAGTTACAGTCCAAAATGCAAACAGAATACGCTGCATGGCTAGCTAAAGCATCCAGTAAGCCAGATTTAGAAGACAATTATTCCAGTTGCAAGATTGACAGCTAAGAAGAACGTCCTGCTATATCGATTTCAGTCCACAACGGTGGTTCAGAAGTTCAGTTGTCTGTCTTGTTCCAGGAGCAGAGGGCTAATCAGCTGACAAGGATGGAATTTTACATACAAATGGAAACTCTTTGCTGCAGCTATTGTCATTCCAAGACCGTAAAGCTGAAAAGAGAAGTAAAGGAAAAACAGGATGAGGTGGGGGGACAAGACAGGGGACAATTTGAAACGCAAGTGGCAGAAGCCTAGTTTAAAAGGGAGGCAGGGAAGAAAAGCAACATATTGGCAATAATAGCTACAATCCTTTTAATGAATTTACAGTTGATTCAGTACAATCATGCAATTCTTAATTGCAAAGTGATGGTTGTCTTCCTGGGACACACCTGCTCATATGAACCACACACTCAGGAATGCAGTCAGCATCTCATTAGTTTTTATTCTATTTTTATTCCATTTTGGTTTTTTTTCTGGTCTGTAAGTTGATTCTCTGGCTGCAAGTCGAATCTAAATTTTGCAGCCAGAGAAGTCTGTAAATCGAAAAGTCTGTAAGTCGAGCCGTCTGTAAGTCGAGGGTCCACTGTACACTTGATTCAGTAGAATCATGCAAGTCTTAATTGCAAATTGGTGGTCCTTAATTAAGTGATGGTTGTCTTCCTGGGACACACCTGCTCATATGAACCACACACTCAGGAATGCAGTCAGCATCTCATTAAATTAGTGGCAGTTTGCCACCAGGATTTATGCAACCTCCCTTACACAGGTGTAATTGGCAATAAGATTATGGCTATCATCATTATAAATGTGCAAAATCTTAACAAACACAAAGGCCTACAATGGATCCAGTACCAACCCAACCAAAATTCAAGACCCAGCTGGACAAGCTCTGCTTGTGATGTGAAGTCCTGCTTATTAGCCATTGACTACGGCCGGTAAGATTACCATGAATGGCAGGGTGTCCTCCGTGGCAGAACTCCAGTCATGGACCTCTCTTCCAAGGAAGAGCTGGTGGTGCCCTGTTAAAAACACACACCTGATCTGCACAACTTTAAGTGAATCAGAAACTATACAGCAGGGATGTGACTGGTGATTATTTGCATTGCTTTTATTGTATTTTTAGCAGATGTGTGCTTTTAGATATTTGTAAATTTAGATGTGTGTATAACGGTTGCCGTAGATTAATGATTATAAATATTTGCAATTTTAACATTGTTTGTCTATGTCTGTTGTTGGAAGTTTTGG